TCCCCAAGCCCAGCTGATGGGTTCACAGAATGGTAAGATTTTGGAGGGAAAGGGGCTCAGAGCTCCCTAATCCAGTCCTCCACTTACCAATCTGACCCCAAACACTTGCTCAGGGTCACGGAGCCTCAAGGCAGAGGTGGGACCTGGACTCCTCCAGAGAGATGACTTAGCTTTCTGTTCCTGCTTCTTTCCACACTGCTGTTACTGAGGCAGAGTCCAGTGTGTGGAGCATTTATAAAGTTCCCTATAAAAAAAATTCGCACTAGTTCAACCCAATTTTCTCTCCCCAGGAGGACTCGAGGTCAGGTTTATGGGACATGAGGTTGGCTTGGATTGAGTGGGGAAATCCAGGCAGGTGAGGGACCTCATCCTCATTTGGGGGGTGGGTCACAGAGTTCACTGTGTGTTGCTGGAGGGAAAACTTGGACACCTGAAGAGATTTTTCTAAGGGAAAGCCCCTTTGGGACTGCAGGATGAAATATGTAGCCATTGGACATGGTTACTAAAAGCAGTGGCATGCAGGAGGTGAACCATGACAAAAGTGGACATCAAGTCAGTGGCCCAAAGAGAAAGAGGTTAGTGATGGGAAGGGTCTCAGGACTCACCAATGCATCTTTACATTTTTCTCTTTCAACATTTGAAAAAAAGCCTTTTTTTTTTTGTAAAGATGACAGGTAAGGGGATCTTAACCCTTGACTTGGTGTTGTCAGCACCACACTCTCCCAAGTGAGCTACCTGGCCATCCCTATATAGGGATCCGAACCCATGGCCTTGGTGTTACCAGCACCACACTCTCCAGAGTGAGCCACAGGCTGGCCCTTGAAAGAAAACTTTTTGGTTATTCTGTCAGAAGCTCAGCACTCCAAGAGATTTTTCATCCCTCAAGGACATACTGATGTTTCACCAGCCTAGGACTTCTCACCTGAAGCTTATAGGTTACTGGATGGAAAGATAACAGCACTGCTGTTATTATGCAAAATCATATGGTATGCTGCCTTGCTAGGTGCCAGGTATTGTTCTAAGTGCTTTGCAGGTGGGTGTTAAAAGATGTGCTGCAACAGCTGAGGGTAGTTGATTGTGGTGGTAGTGGGGTTTCCAGAGGCTGGATGTGGCCAGCAGCCTTCCTGGTGGGATCCTTGAGTATTAATGAGACATGAGTTTCACTTCAGAAACATGGGTTTTTAAAATGTCACAATCCATTATTTCCCTAAACCAAATGGAATGTGTTGTTAAGCCGACATTCAGAAGCTCAGCACTCCAAGAGATTTTTCATCCCTCAAGGACATACTGATGTTTCACCAGCCTAGGACTTCTCACCTGAAGCTTATAGGTTACTGGATGGAAAGATAACAGCACTGCTGTTATTATGCAAAATCATATGGTATGCTGCCTTGCTAGGTGCCAGGTATTGTTCTAAGTGCTTTGCAGGTGGGTGTTAAAAGATGTGCTGCAACAGCTGAGGGTAGTTGATTGTGGTGGTAGTGGGGTTTCCAGAGGCTGGATGTGGCCAGCAGCCTTCCTGGTGGGATCCTTGAGTATTAATCAGACATGAGTTTCACTTCAGAAACATGGGTTTTTAAAATGTCACAATCCATTATTTCCCTAAACCAAATGGAATGTGTTGTTAAGCCAACACCCAGTCAACACAGGGGTTCCTTGCTCTCACTCCCCAGAGCTGGAAGAAAATCTCTGGAGTATATAGGGGCAGATGTGTGTGGGAGGCCCTCCAGTCTTGAATCTACACCAAGCCTGCTCAGTGCTCCAACTCCAAGCTTCAGGAGCCCTTAAAGGTGGTGATTCCACTGCTTGTGAGCCAAGCTTGGGGACCAGGGCCTTTCCCAGCCACCAGAAAGAGCCCTGTTCTTGGTGTTGCGGATCCTCACCCCTCCACCCACCCACCCCGCTACCGTCTCCTCTCAAGGCACCTTCCAAGCCCCAGGCCCCTTCCCAGACTTGGGAACGGTTCCCAAACGTACTCTTAGCATGTCCATTTCCATCCCCCATCCCCCTCACAACTCTTCCCTCTGGCATCTAGAGGCATCCTCACGTTTCTCTTCTTGGGTCTCACCTTCCTTCTCATTCCTGGATGAGAATTTGGGGATGCTTGGGAACTGAAATGCTCAAAATGGCCTCACCCTTTGACACTGTAATTATTCCTGATCTCTCATGAAACAGGGACCATGGTTTTCTAGCCCAGTTCCCACTACAAAGTCAAAATGATGACCTCGAGGAAAGTGGCCCAACCAGGCCAAACCTCTGTTGCCACATCAGTACCACAGTGCAGTGTGCTTTCACACCATGTGTCAGTCCTCTTTCTGTTGTCCTCAATGGAAAACCAGCTCAAGCTGGCTTAAGCAAAAAGGGTACTGATTGGCCCATGTAATTGAGAAGTGGAGGTACAGATGTGCCTTCAGGAATAGCTAGATCCAGGTACTCAGACGTGGCACCAGCAATCCTTTTCCTGGCTGTTGGTTCTAGTTTTCTTTGTGGTGGTTTCATTCAAACACAGATTCCCTCCTCTTTGTGGCAAGATGGCTATGCATGACACCAGGCTTAAAGCCAAGCTCTCAGCTCCCCACGGGCAAGTTCCATCAGAAGCCCAGGTTGACCCTTGTTGGCACTGATTGGGTCATGTCTGGTCCTGAACCAATCACTGTGTCAAGCGAGATGCATTGTTTGATTGGTTATGCCTGGGACACAGGGCCATCCCCAGAGCTAGGAATGACATTATCTCTACTCAAACCACGTGAACCAAGGTGGGGAGGGGCAGATCTTCCAGGGAAAATCCAGGCCCTGTTGCAGGGAAGAGGAGGAAAGAATGCCAGGCAACTAAGACATCGAGTACCCACTGCGCCATCCTTTGCCATCAGCTCCTGCCTGGCCAGGGCACTCTTTGACCAACTGATCCTCCTGCTCCTATCAGGAGGAAAGAATGCCAGGCAACTAAGACATCGAGTACCCACTGCGCCATCCTTTGCCATCAACTCCTGCCTGGCCAGGGCACTCTTTGACCAACTGATCCTCCTGCTCCTATGCAGATTCACCCACCTACACCCCAGCAGAGGTCAGGGCAGTGGACTGGTGGCAAGTGGGTAAGGCTGCTTCAGCACTTGGGGCCCAAACCTCTGCCCTTACCTTCCAGACCCAGTGCAGGTGGATCCCCTTCCAGGCGGCTGTACTGGGTTAGTGTCCCCCCAAATTTCATGTCCACCTGGAACCTGTGAATATGACCTTATTTGGAGATAGGGTCCTTGCAGACATAGTCAAGTTAAGATGAAGTCACGCCGCATTAGGGTGGGCCCTAGAACCCATATGACTGGGGTCCTTATAAGAAGAGGGACATAGGGACACGGATACACGTAGGAAGAATGCTAATTTGATGAAAGAGGCAGAGAGATAGGAGTAATGCTGCCACAAACCAAGGAAGGCCAAGGATTGCTGCAATCACCAAAAGCTGGAAGAGGCAAGGGAGAGAGTCCTCCCCTAGAGCCTTTAGAGGAAGCAAGGCCCTGCTGACACCTTGATTTTGGACATCTAGCCTCCAGAGTTGTGATAGAGTAAATTTCTGTTGTTTCTAACCACCGCATTTGTGGTAACACTTTGTTACAGCAGCCCTAACAAACTAATACAGGGGCCTTCCTGAGTATACACTGTTCTTGCCCCAGCCCCGTGGCCTTCCAATGGGAAACCATCCCCTTTCCAGGAGGAGAAAAAATCCTCTGCTGATGAAAACTTTCAGCAGAAAAGGCCACATTATTTTGGCAGCTGGGGCCACTTCAAGGGGAAGTCCTTCCCCAGGGCCAGCCCCTCGGCACACCACTGGACGGCATTGTCCAAGCTCAGAACAGGCTTAAAGCCCAGAGGGGATTCTGCTGAGGCAGCTGGGGCGAGGGTGACCAACTCATCCCTGTTTGCCTGGGATGGTCCCATTTGAGCACTGAAAGTCCTGCATCTTGGGAACCCCTCCAACCTAGACAAGCCATGATAATCGGTCACCCTCACTGTGGCTGGGGTTGGTTTAGCTCCTTGGAAACAAGGACAGGCTCAAACATTTTGCACGCCCTACCTTATATGCCTTAGGCATTTTGTAAGCCTTTGTTGTGTGCTGACTTAGTGCATGTACTGCACAATGAACAATGTGTCTAGTCCTCATAACATGCCTGTGGGGTAGGTACTGCTGTCATCCCCACTTTACAAACTGAGGCTCTAGGAGAGATGAAGCCATATGGCATGGAGATGGCAGCCCCAATGTCAGCTGTAGCAACATGGCACTGGCAGCTTCCTCACTGTGTGCCCTCTTCCACCTGCACAGGACTCACCATGGAAGGTCTGGGGCTGGTGGGAGCGCCGACTCCTGGACCCACCCTGCACCTGCCAGATCAGCATCTCCTGGGCACAGGAGTAATATCTCCCAGTGTAACATTGGGCAAGTTACTGCTCTGTGCCTCAGTTTTCATGTCTCAAGATGGGGGTAGTAATAGCATCTTCCTTGCAGGGTTGTATGGGGACTTGATCACAGGTGTTTGCTATTATTGTTGAGCGGTTATTGGCTGGTAGGTTAGATCTCAGCTTCCAGAATCACACTGAGCTGGGTGCAAACAGCAGTGACCCTGAGAACTTTACCCTGAGCATGAGCCCCCCACCTGTAAAATGGGGCTAAGGCAGCACTTTCCTCATAGTACAGCTATGACAATTAAAGGGGACCATGTGTTGCAGGTTATCCCAGCAAGTCCCAGGGTAAGTGCCCATCGAATGTAGTTCTGATTGACACACTCAGGCCAAGCCTGTGATCGGCTTAAATTTTGGGCAAAGTTCCCACAATTTTTTTTTCTTCTGAACATGTTTTGAAGTGTGGTGGACTTGAGAGGGTTGGGTATGGAACACTCCTGCCAGAGGTTTGGTGGGGAGGCCAGGGGAAAAAGGAGACCACCAAGGGGTTAGGAGACCTGGGTCCTGGCTTGGTTCCATCTGACCTTGGGTGTCCTTGACTTCTCAGGCCTTGGTTCCCCATCTGTACAATGGACCTTTGGGTTTGATGCCTGAGGCTTGGTCTGGAGATGATTTCACCAATTACTCCCAGAGTGACTCACAAGGTAAGTAGTTTTCTGTATTCATTATTCAGTCAACCAGGGCCATCTTCACTAACATGTGACCTGTGCTGTCAGAACCCAAATTCAGAAGGGCCTCCATGCTGAGCTGAATGCTTTGCTGTTGCCATTTTGAAATTCTTTATTTTTGAACGAGGACCCTGCTTTTTCATTTTGCATTGGTGCCCACAAATTACACAGCCAGTGCTGCCATCAACAAATATTTACTGAATGTTGAGGAAGTGCTACTGTGTGGCAGCTACCAGGCATACAGTAGTAGAAACAGTTTGATGGGGCCTCTATCCTCATGGAGCTTAAGTCTAGAAGCTGGCTCAATGTGGCCCCCCAAAAGACACGTCCAAGTCCTGACCCAGGTAATAATGTGAATGTGACATTATTTGTAAAAGGCGAAAGATTTATACGATCTGAAGAGAAACAAAAGCATAAATGTGACATTATTTGGAAATAGGGTCTTTACAGATGTATTTAAGTCAAGCATCTTAGGATGAGATCATCCTGGATTTTGGGTGAGCCCTAAATCCAATGACAAGTGTCCTTATAAGAGGAAGAAGGGGGAGATTTGAGACACACAGATACAGAGGAGAAACACAGAAGGAAAGGCCACGTGAAGATGGAGGTAGAGAGTGGAGTGATGCGCCCACAAGGCAAGGAACGCCAAGGATTGCTGGCAGCCATCAGAAGCTAGGAGAGAGGCCTGGAAGAGGTTCTCCCTCAGAACCTCATAAGGAACCAACCCGCCAACACCTTGATTCTGACTTCTGCCCTCCAGAACTCTGAGGGAACAAATGTCTGTTGTTTTAAGCCATGAAGTTTGTGGCAATTTGTTCTTGTGGCCCCAGGAAACTAATACATGGATAGACAGACATTGATCAAACCTCATAAGGAACCAACCCGCCAACACCTTGATTCTGACTTCTGCCCTCCAGAACTCTGAGAGAACAAATGTCTGTTGTTTTAAGCCATGAAGTTTGTGGCAATTTGTTCTTGTGGCCCCAGGAAACTAATACATGGATAGACAGACATTGATCAACTAATCAAGCAAACAAACGAGAAACTGCTGTATGACACAGGAGGTGCAGGGTGCTGTGTTGGGGAAGGATTCTCTGAGACTTGAAGTCAGAGAAGGAGTTAACTTCCTGCAGGGCAGGAAGATCATTCCAGGCAAAGGGAACAGCATGGGCAAAGGTCCTGGGTTGGGAGGCTCCCTCTAAAATCAACAAGTTTCCAGGCCCTGTGGGTCTCTATGATGTGTTGTCTTGGCTACAGAGGGCTTTAAAAAGCCTTGAAAAAGGACAGGTGTCATTGCTCGTGGCAGTAGCGGCAATTTGGCGCCTGTGGTTTCAACTCCACCCATCTCACATGTTTATGTTACCAGACTGGCCCCCGAAGGGAATCTGCTTGCCAGGCCCTGACCTGCCTGAGCTTGGCTCTTGCAGCAGCCTTCGCCCGGCCTGGTGGAGCCGGTGTCTGGTTGCCCAGGCTGGCTGTGCCGGGTGTTTGCAGTTCCCAACAAAGGACAGAATTTACTGCTGCCTTTCATTGCCTTGTGAGAGCTCCGCGAGGACTGGCACCAGATGTGGCTGGCATGAAGGGTCCCAGACCTGCTGTTTTGGGGAGAATTCTCCTTGCAGGAACCGGGCATGCAGCAAGTTCTGTGGTGCTTGATCCTGGGGCGGGGCCTCGGGCTGCAGAGGAGGGACAACCTGTTGGGGCGGGGCCCTGAGGCTGCTGAGGAGGACCGGATTAGTTTGTTGCTTCTTCCAGGAGGCCAGCTGCACTGCCAAGGACATGCTATCTCTATGCTTGTTTCCCATCAATAAATCAGATAAATTACTCTCATCGGCTCCTCCTCTGTAAAATGGGGTTCATAATTATACCCCTTTGGTAAAGCAGTTGTGAGAATTAAATGAGATGATTTGCTCTTTCATTTAACAAATATTTTGGGGGGAGCTACTAGGTGCTAGACATTGTTCTAGATGGAAGGGAGTGAACAAAATAAGACAGACATACGTGCTCTCTTGAAACTGACATTCTAGAACAGGGGTCTCCAAACTACAGCTCTTGGGCCATATCTGATTGGCCATCTGTTTTTGCATGGACCGTGATTTTGCATTTTTAAATGGACATAATCAAAAGAATAATAGCATTTCATGACACATGCAAACTATATGAAATTCCAATTTCAGTGTCATAAATAAGGTTTTATTAGAATGTAGCCTCCCTGGGGAGGGAGAAGGGACTCCTGAGCTAGGGAGGGGCCCAAGTCTCCCAACTCCAAGGTCCTTCTGTGCTGAGGCTCTGGCCTCCTCTGGCCTAGGGGGAGTCAGCTTTCTGAGGCCTGGTCGTGGAACTCTGCTTTGTATCCAGGCTGGGGTTTGCAGGCTTTGCTGCTGTGGGTTCCAGGCTTGGTTTACTCCAACTGTTCTACTGGGTTGGAACTATCTGTCTCTGGGGATGTTCCTTAAAGACAAGGACCTGATATATTTAACACCCAGTGCCCAGCACAAGGCCTGGCACACAGAAAATATTTGCTGGACCAGTGAATAAATGACCACAGGGACTGAAAGTCCCCAGTGCAAAGAGGAAGGGAGTTCATGTTAGTGGAGCCCAGCTAAGCTCTGAAGACAAGAGGAAGCATTTTCCAAGCATCTGCCAAGTGCTCATCTCAGCCTCACCACTACCCAGTGAGGGCCTCTCATTTCCCTATTTGACAGGGACCCAAGGCTTGGAGAGATTACATCATGTGCCAGGGCCGCACACCAGGGAAGTGAGTGTGGGGTGTGAGGCAGGGATTGGTGGGATGGGTGCCCGGCTAAGCACTTGGATGGAGTTCTGTATGAAAGGGGGGCTGCTGAAGATTTTTTGGTTTTACTTTTGTTTCTTCTTCTTGGTTTTGCTGCTTTCCTTCCAACATTTTATTATGAAAATTTTCAAACACACAGCAACATTGATTCATTCATTAATCACATATCCATCCCTCTATCTTTCCCTCAATTCATCCTATTTAGTGCAACATACACAAAATATGGAGAATAGTACAATAAACAGCCACATGCCCAGCTTCAACATGATTGACAGTTTGCCTTTTTGTTTCCTCTATCTTCCCTGTCCCCATTTTTTCCTGGAGGATTTTAAGCAAATCCTAGACACAGTATCCTTTCCCCTTTAAATTTTTCATGAAAAAGTTTTACATAGAGGCCTCTTTGATTATCTCCAGGTAACTGGGCTCCTTGGGCCAGTCAGAGGCTGGCGGCTAAGATCCCATGAGCCTGATGTCCTGGGATGAGCTATTTGGCCTAGACTGAGTGTGAAATATGAAGAGACTGGGATGGGGGGCTTTTATGACAGACTAGGGCCCCCTTTGGTCTTCCTTTTTGTCTTCCAGTGGTCTGGGCACACCTGGTGTCCTTCCTGTGTTCACAGGAGAGAGGTGAGGCAGTGGGAAGGGCTCTGACTGGAACCCCGGCCCAGTGCATCATGGGTGCCTGGTGCTGAGCCTCAGCTTCCTCATCTGTGAAATGGACAGAGATAAGCATGTGTCTCTCACAGAGGGTGCTCAGAGGTCAAGCCAATTACTGTGCCAGCTCAGTATCTAAATCTGCTCTAAAATCTGAGGGGAACTGTCCCAAGTGTCCTCTCAGCTCTTCGGAGAGGTGGAGTTAGCACCACTCTTAGATAAGTGAGCAGGGATTCTGGCACTGAGGGACTTGTTGGAGGTCACAGCCATGAGTGCACAGTGGGGTACAGACTTGGCCTCTCTGAGCATCCCTTGACTCTAGGCCCCCCTCTGACCACCCACAGCCTCGCTTCTTGCCCCTGCTTCTCCAGCAGACAGGCAGCCTTATCTCTACACCCTCCTGCCCCCACCCCAGAAGCCAGGCCACCCAGAAACAAGGCTCCTCACCGCCTGGTAGGTGCTTTGGGAGTGGGGCAGATAGATGATCAAGTGGCAACCCCACCACCAAATGTTCCAGCTGCCTGGATCTGGGGGTGGGGCTGCAGAATTGACATCCACAGACCTGAGTTCAACTCCTGAAAGAGACTGAACTCTCCCATGCCTGTTTTCTCACCTGCATAGTAGAAATGATAAATGATACACACATAGTTGGTTCTTATCATTTGTGGTAGTTTATCCTATAAAGTCACCGGGAACACCGACTTAGCAAATTCTGAAGCATTGCTCCCAAGGGAAATACAGGTTAGGTTCCTGTGAGAGTCTGGTCACAATTGTCACAGCCCATCCACACATAACCTGCCTTTGTGTGTGTTTCTGTTTAAAGACACTTTATTGAGTATATGATGGTGATTCATTAACATTGAACTCATGGCCAGCATCCCCATAATTCATGCTTGAACAAAGCTTATCTAACATATGTATTTTCTCTGAAACGGATATCGCTGCCTTCTTGTGCTTGGGAACACAGGACAGCACTTCAGCAGTCTACTTGAGGGCCATTTTAAACATCAAAGTCACCCACAAAAAGCACAAAAATATGAAATATGTAGCACTAGACCACAAAAAGAACACTTACAGTGTGAAAGCTGAATAGGGAGGCAGAGTGTGGCCTTGGTGGACCTCGGCTGGGAATGTGCACATCCAACAACTGGAATTTTTCACAACTCTGCATGTGTCTATAAATGACCATGAAAGCACCTCAAGTACATTGATTTTAGGGTTACAAATAAATTCTAAGTAGGCAAATTTGCAAATACGAAATCCATAAAGAGGATTGACTCTGAGTGTGTGTGTGTGTATTTGTGTGTGTGTGTGTATACACATACAAGTATATATGTGCTCAGTCACTAGCTGGAAGCAGCCTATGGAAAGGTACCCTGTTCTTTCTGTGGATAAGAAAAATGTATAACATTATCGAGAACTTGCTTTGTGTCAGTCTGAGCTAAACCCTTGACAGGCCTTATTTAATCCCCACGAAGGTACTGTGAGTATGGTACTATTGTTATCCCCATGTCACAGATAAAGCACAGAGAGGTTAAGTAACCTTCCCATCATCACACACCAGCAAGAAGGATGCAGACCTGGGCAACTGGACAACATGCACACAACACCCCTTGCACAGGGCCTGGCATAGGGTGGTAATAATAATACCTGGTGTGTTTTGACCAGGAGTTAGACCTGGGCCTGTTCGGAAGCAAAGTGCACCTCACTGTAGGAGATGAATGTAGGTAAAGTTCTTGGTACCTGGGGAGCCCTCGCTAATGGTACCTGCTATAGAGTGGTTTCAGCCTGGCCAACAGGCTCTAGGATGTTGCACCTAAAAGAGACTTTAGAGTCTGTCTGTCACCCAAAAGGGAAGGGGTCTGTATTAGTCTGTTTCTGTTGCTTATAACAAAATACGTGGAACTGAGTATTTTATAAAGAAAATAAAATTTATTGCTTACAGTTGCTGAGGCTGGGAAGTCCAAAGTCCAGGGAACAAATCTTTTGAGAGCCTTGGTGGTGGTGACAGTGACCCAGGATCTCACATTGCAAGATGGTGGAAACAGAGAGAGGCTAACTTCCTCATTCACTCTCCTTTTAAAGCCCTCCAAACCACACCCCTGACCACCACTTTTAATCCATTCACCACAGCATGGTCCTATGATCTAATCACCTCTTCAAGGCCTCATCTTTCAGTTACCATAATAGGATTTCCCGACCTCAACAGTTACAGTGGGGATAAAGCTTCTAATATATGAAATTTGGGGGACACAATTCAATCAATCCATAGCAGGGTCTTTTTAAAATTATTCACTCATTCATTTATTCATTCAGAATATATAATTTGAGTAATTTCTCTGTGCGAGGTCCTGGACTGGACCCTGGGGCTATAACAGAATATACAAGCAGGTCCTGCCAGCCTGGGGCTCCCAGTCTAACAACTTCATGTCCAAATAAAGACCTCATTACAACCATAATGACTGTTACTAGGAAGTGAGGGGGCCCATGTGCCCAGCACCAGGGGTTGAATCACGAGAGGTCTAGCCCCATTGTGGCAATCCCCTTCTCTTTGCTGGACACTTGCTTCCCAGCTTCTCCTAGCTAGAAGTGACCATGCGAGCCAGCTCTGGCCAATGCAAATGACAGACATTTCTTCCATCTTCTTTCTACCTTGAACACAGATGTGGCAGCCACCCTGCCCCCATGAGGCAATGAGCTGGAGGTGAAAAGCCACCACCCAAAGAGTGGCAGAGCAAGAAGACAGGAGGAACCTGCGCCCTGATGCCAAAGAGCTGTGGTGCCAACCTCCAACGTTCTTGTCGAGAGGTGGCCAATGTCTGCGGCATCTAAGTTACTGTTGTTTGGATTTCTGGTGACCTGTAGCTGCATATCTCCCTAACTCACTCAGCCACCCTGTGGAAGGGCTGCTGAGGTCAGAACCTGCATGGTGGGGACTTGACGAGTCATGGAATGGGACCCTAAGGCTTCTAACTCCCCATTCAGAATTTTCTCTGCTCTGCCCACAGGTGCCCAAAGCCTGGACCTTGGGAAAGCCACATCCTGCATCTGAGCTGCACAAGTGTCAACTGCGTCTTGTGTGTGAGCACTGCCACCACCAAGTAAACACCTCCGTTCTGGCCGGCATCACCTCTCAAGCATGGGTTATTCTAGACCGCGGTCACCCGCCAAAACTCAGCCATCATGACCTCCCGTGGACACTGCATGTTCTCTTCCCAATTCACTCCATCTGCTCCACTTACAGTAAACATGTTTATAAAGGAGACTTACATCCCCACTATCAGTGAAACACCAGTGTTGCTTGTTATAAAATGTTATAAAATAAAGCTATTGTTCCGTTTTCTCCTCTCTAACATGGGGATTATAATAACATTTCACTGTGTACTTTGTACGAAACTGCTTAGAACAACATATCGCTTATAGTGAGTTCTCAGTAAACGTTTGTTGTCATTGTTATTACTCCTGGAAAAAAAATCATTGAAAACAAGAATACAAGTATATACGCGTGGATCAATATTGTGGCGAGCCATATGAAATGACCATTTGACCATGTTCAAGCTACAATCCCAATTATATTTGGTTAACTATACATGTGTGCATATGAAGTATATGAGATAGGCACATATCTAAATATGTAATAAGAAATGTTCTAAAGGAAAAAGCACTGGTCTGTGTCCCACAGAAAACAGTTTTGCTCCCACCTGGGCTCACTCTGCCCCACGGGGACTCCTGGTCCAAGGAGGTCATGGAGAGTGTGTTCCAGGCCTCAGGGTCAGATGGAGTCAGGCTGGAATTGTGCTCTGCTGTGTTATGGCTAGCAGGCAGGGGACCGCCTCTGAGTTACCCCATCTGTCAGTGAAGGTGATGATATCTCCCTGAGCAGGTGGCTGTGTGTTTTCAAATGATGTTGTGAACGTAAAGCACTTAACCCGGTGCCTGGCAAATGATGGGTATTTGATCAATGGCTTTTCTGTTTCTCCGCTTCCTTCTTTCCATTATTAGAACATGTTTAGTTGTTAACATTATGAACTAGTCAATAAAAGGTGTCTGCCAAGGAGTACAATCAGAAATAGCTCCAGGAGGGCCTTGCTCTGCTCAGGTTGGGGAGATGCACCCTCTCCTGGCCCCCACTATCACTCCACCTGTTCCTCCTCCTCCTCTCCTTCCCAGAGCCACCCTCCCCCGCACTCTGTGCCTCAGTGTCCTACCAAGCTGACCTTCCTCTAGACCCAGCCTTGTGGCCTGGCCCGTTGGCAGGCACGGTCCTTCCATTGCCTTCTTGCTCCCCCTTCCCTGCCTTCACTGAGTCCTTCATTCATTTATTGAGGAGCCCTTTATGGATCACCTGGTGCATGGCAGACCCTGGGGTCACAAAGATGAGTCAGGAGGACCCAGGACTCCCTGAGAGCACAGTCCAGACAGGAAGACAGACTCAGGAACTCAAACCAGAAGGGAGTCCCCAGGGTTGAGGCTCCAGCTCAATGAAAGCAAGTTGGTCCCCACTTTAGAAAAAGTCTGAAATCCCACAGACTTTTGGGTATTGGCTTCTGCAGCCCATCTCTCTGCCTCCCTCTTTTGCAAACCCCTCGGCCCCACCAGAAGGAATTACTTGCGACCTTTCAGTGGCAAGAACCAGAAGCTAAGACTGTGGGCTTCGCACAGATGCCCCCTTCCCTGGGTGAGCGACAAACACCTCTAGCCGGTAAAAGATAGAAGCTACAGAACCTACCCTGAGCAGCCGTTGCTTCAATTAAGTGAATTATTGTGTGTTACGGGCCACCTCTCCCCTTGGTCAGAACCTGCTGGGTCTCAGAGCTGCATCAGAAACAATTATCATTTCCACGACTCATTCAAGGTGGTGACTCTCAGCCCTGGCTGCTCAGGAGAGTCACGCGCACACCAACCCCATTCAATCAGGGCCGAGCAAGGACGCTGGTATTTTTAAAAAGCTTTGGGCCGAGCCCGTGGCGCACTCGGGAGAGTGCGGCGCTGGGAGCGCAGCAGTGCTCCCGCTGCGGGTTCGGATCCTATATGGGGATGACCGGTGCGCTCACTGGCTGAGCGTGGTGCGGCCAGTCTCAATAAAAAAGGACAAAAAAAATTAAAAAGCTTCTTTCATGATTCTGAAGCATAGCCAGGACTAAGAACCCCTTTTAAAATTAAATTAAATCAATAATAATAATAATAATAA